AACCAACAACATANATATAATTAATAACTAAGTATATATAANAAATAATAATATATATATATATATATATATATATATATATATATATATATAAGTGAAGTTAGGGAAAGACTTAGAAATATTCCTTCAAAGAACTATATTTGAATATGCAATGGATTCTGTTTGTAACTTACGACACATTAATTGTTATAAAAGGAGACCTAGAAAAAGGAAAATGTTTATGCACAATTAGTCATTGCTACAGCCTTGGAAACAATTAACGACCTAGCAATCAGGGGTTAGAAGACCACGGGCAAATGTCAAAGTACCTTCAGATTCGAATTCTTCGAACTCATCATCATCCTCAAAGAGATCGATTTTGGGCTCCTCGTTTACAACTTTTTTCTCATTCTCAGGAGTAGTTGCCATATTAATAATGTTGTGCTGTAGAAAAAGAAGAGAAGAGTTTTAAGCATCAAATCACATGATGAGGAAAATTCAAAACACATCAACTGAGGAAAAGGCCACACATAACCTACAATTGAGAAATAAATTATTCACTGCTCCTGATTGAACATAAGAATGTTAAAGAGCGACAGCAGCGGAGAGTTGAAGCTTAGAGCGAGAGTACCGCTCTTGTTTTAGCTTTTCAGAGCAGAAACGTGCAGATAGAGGGAGTGGCCTCCTTAAGGAGAGAGTTTTAGTTCAATAAAGTGGAATACTTGATGGTTCATCTCTGCCATCCATCTCGAGCATGGATGTTAGTCGACTAACGTAGAGAAATGATCTATAGGACCCTACCCCTCCTAAGGCCTCGAAAACATCGCCACTAAATTTAGTACCGATCTACATTATCAAAAAGTCAAATCCCACGCTCTTATAATAATTTTCTTTTTCGATTCGTGTCAATTTTAATAATTTTTTAAAATTATATTAAAAAAAACCATATAAAATCATTCTTCTATAGAATCATTCTTCTTTAATGTATGTCTGAAAAGTGTCAATATTACAGTAAGATCTCCTATCAATCGGCCAAGGATGTGCGATTGACCATAACATTACGTGCATATTGTAGTAATATTTGACATATAAATGCACTCATGGATTGTTTAATTTACGAATTTAGGAAAAAGTTTATATAAGGTTGCATGCGCCTC